AGTATTTTTTTCGATTTTTGCGGCAAAAGTTTACCTATTTGAACATTGCAGTTGGATTACTAGCTCAAAAATAGATGGTGAGCCTCCAAAATCTTGCTGCCAAAACTTTCGGTCAAATACCAAATAACCACGAAAAAAGTTTTTGAAAACTGGCTATTTTCTACTTTTAATCAGTAACTGAACTTGTCCAGGGTCAGGTTCAAAAAATTTGCTAGGATGCATCTAGTGGTGGCGATGATGATAAACGGTGTTGGTGATGATGGTGATGACTGRTGATGGTGATGGTGGTGATGGTGGTGGTGATGGTGATGGTGATGGTGATAGTGATGATGGTGGTGATGGTGATGGTGATGGTATCTGATGATGGTGTTGATGATGATGATGGTGGTGGTGATAATGAATGCTGATTGGTGATGATGATGATTGTGTTTGTGATGATGACTAGTGGGGTAATAATGATAATGATGATAGGAATGGTGTTGTTGTGGTGGTGTTAACCTTACTTCTAGAAGCTCTTTGAACACAGAAATCAGTCAATCAGATCTCTAGACATCCATCTTCAGGTCCTATGAAAAATTAATTCATCAAACAATTTGTGATGAAACCTTGATCATGCTGTGACAAACTGCTCTATTTTTTTCTTAAGCCACAAGGTTTCTTCATGAAAACGGCATCCTTCTGCACTACAATGACCAGCTTCGAGGTCTAAACAGCTTGTACTTCATCGACCCATCCTGGGTGTGTGACCTTATCGCTAACATCGTCACTGTAAGAGAGCGCAATCCTTTCATCAAGGAAGGGATAATGTGGAAGAGCAATGTGGCTTTGGTGCTCAAAGATCCACGCTTTCCTCCCCAGTTCATCTCTCAGGTATTGATCGAAGAATTGTTCTTTAAATATTTTTTGGTAGAACCATTTAAGCCTATCATTTGACGTTTCCGCGACTAGTCTAAATTTTTACAGTGGGTTGCCTGTTGCACAAGATTCCCGCCACTTTCAAAAACGCTCCGCCGCTCCTGTATATATTTCGCTAAAACCAAAGACAATCAGTGGAGGAGGGGAGAGGAGAGGAAAGAAACCGAAATGTGAACCGTTGATTATTTAATGTAGTGTCAAGGGACGCGGAATACCTTTTGGTCTGCCAATGAAGATGATCCTGACAAACATTTTTCAATGTTGTGTTTTATTTCAGTATCTGCAATTAATGGAGAGGTTTGAAATAGCTCTCGGCCTTGATGAAAATCGTCTTCTTATTCCCTCCATGCTYCCCCCGGACTCCCCTGGAATGCAGCTTGACAAACTCTACAGGTTGGGGGGTATATCAAGACCGCGTTCGAAGACCGAGAAATACTCTCGTCCGGCTAAAGAGTACGACAATGGATCTGCCGCAGAATGCAAGGCTGCGTCGTTACCAAGGCTTAGGCCTGGCAACAAGGAGAAAGTCAAGTTTAAAGACCAACTGGAAGAGGATGGAACTCCAAACGGTCCTGTTGATGCAGTGAGGCGTAACTACCAGATGGCTTACATCCCTAGTGGATTCTGGAGTCGTCTTATCACCAGGCTGATGGTCTCTTTGCAGAGGTGGCGTACAAGTGAAGGTATTGAAGAAGAGCGGTTCTCCATGATATATTGGAGGAAGGGCATTGGTGTAGTTTATGAAGGAGGACACTTCATCGTCCAGTCGTACAGGGAAATGGTATGTATCGAATGATAACTGAACTAAAATATTTTAGTTTCTATATTTTCTAAATGTTAGAGTCATCGCATATTTTCAAGATGGCGTCTGTTTTGTCCCAGGGAGAGGAGGAGCAATAGTGCGCAGTTTATCCCGTCTCTCCATCAGTACTTCGTTTTAGTTTTCAGTCTTTTCTGGTTAATCGTATAAAATACACTGAGTAATGCTGTCAGCTTGATATGACAGAGCATCGTCTTTAAATTTCAAATCACATTATGCTTTATGCTTTTTTACTCGGTTTTAAAATAACTTAGATAGCAGCAAGGAAGCCTTGTTTTATTTTGATGGAATATTTGATCTGCTTGCTTTAGATTCCACTACATGCTGGCCGTAATCGGTTTGAAGAACTCGAGGGCGTCTCTATAGAAGTTTGGTCTGGGATGAGAGATTTTTCTGTCATTGGATTCATTGTTGATCAAGTAGACGCTCTGATATCTGAATGGTACCCAGGTATGTAGACTTGTCTCGTATGGTCGGTCGTTTTGATTACTTATTTAGTTTTCATTTTGTACCACGTTAAGAAATGCCTGTGCCGTGACCATCATTCTGTTGTGTTACAGCATTCTGATTGGAGTAGCAGCATATTAATTTCGCGCGGCTTGATTGGTTTTTCGGAGGCACCAACGATTTTCCCGCGCTTGAGAGTAACCAAAAGTCTTAATTTGCCGCGCTTTTTGGTTCCAACATGTCTTGATGGTTTTTCCTACCATGACCATGCAATGCGCCGTAGTTTTTAAGAGTCACGCAATACCTAAATAACGTAACGCAATATTTATGTATCACATGAATGCCTCTTGCAGGTCTCGACGACACCGATTCTTTTGGCTACCCACTCGTACGTCGTTTGATACCCTGCCCACAATGCTCCACCCTGTTCGCCCGCCGTGGATGCTATCTTCGCCGTTCGTGCTCCGTAGAGTTTCCCACAGAGCACTGCGGTGCACAGCCTGTACGTCCATACAATTTCACTCTACCAACCTGTGCCGCTGCGGCCCTTAACTTCGCTACCATCAACTGTCCCTACCATCCTGAAACAGTAGTCTCTTTAGACGAGCTTATCCCTGATCTGCTCATGACTGACCTCCCCCGGCATCTACTAGTCGAGAGAGGGGAGTTCTCTTATAAGACTGATGCTGTTAGTCGGTTAGGAGGGGGAGGCGCGGGAGAGGTTTTTCGAGGCTTTATGGATGAAATGGAGGTAGCTGTCAAGACCTTTCACTCAACGCGTACCACAAGGTAACAATATACGATATATATGTTAATCATAAATATGCAGTTGAATCCCGGGTATCTCACTGACTTGAGGACACATCCCTTGTGTCACTACGATTTTACCCTGCATATCTCGAACCCCTATTATTCCAACCATTTTCCCTG